CCCCCGCCTCCCTCCCCTCCCTCGCCTCCCTCCCCCGCTGCACCTTCCCCTACACCTCCCTCCTCCTCCTCCGGTCCCCTCTGCCCCCTCCCCTGTTCCGCCGTCTGCGCCGTCCCGAGGAACTTCGCGTGGGCACATTAGTAAGAGTTAACATGTTAACTATTAGAGTTAACATGTTATCTATAAGAGTTAACATGTTATCTGTAAGAGTTAACATGTTATCTGTAAGAATTAACATCCGCTGTCATGAGAAAAAGAAGGGTAAATTTGGGATTTAAGCCAGCTGACATGTCTAATCATAAGCTAGCATGTCTAATCAACTGCTGGCATGAGTTGAAAACATGATGGAGGGGGCTTGGGCATATTTTTTTCAAAAAAAAGAGGTTAAAGCATATTAAAAAAATAGGAGGGGTTGGGGCACATTAAAAGTTCAAATTTGGGGCCTAGAAGAAATTTTCCCTCACAATTGATGTAGAAAGAATTTCCGAATATACAAAATACAATAAAATAGATTGTTGATTAATATGGCCCTCCTGCATTATGAATATTGCATGTTACATTTTTGAACCCTGAGGGGTCACAAAGTAATCATAATACTTTTTAGACGTTCTCGGACAAAATTGTTCTACTAACGTAAGTAAGAGGGAGAGAGTATATATATATAGGTGAAAACTTGTGTCAACTTAAGTGGATAGGGAATAGTGTGTTCACCAAAGTTTTTAACCACTCATATTGCCTAGGGATCCTTGTATTATATAAAAATGTGTTTTATATTAATAAATATGTGGCTACAAACTTTGGTGGACATCAACTTAAGTTGATAGGAGTCTTGCTATATATAGAGAAAAACTTATGTCAACTTAAGTGGACGTTCACTAAGTTTCTTAGTCATTGATGATCACTTGATTGAGCTACTATTGTGGATGATCCGTTCCGTTGAACTTGATCTACATATTCTAAAACCCCAACACACCAAATTTGGGGTGAACCCGTCATGGTTTGACCCTTCATCCACTCGTATCAATTTTAACGGTTTCGAATGAATAGAACTTTTTACATGGCTCGACGGAGGGTCAAACCATGACGGATTCACACCAAATTTGGTGTGTTGGGAATTGGCACATACCCCTTCTCGTATAGTGACTTTGCAGAGACCCTGTGGATGCAAATTTTAGACTCTTTTACTCTAAAAAAAAGATTGTCTTTTGGTAAATAGACCTCTTGAAAATAAGAGAGTTAAAAGTTTTCACTCTAAGAGTTCTATCAGCCAACTCAAACTACATGGTTAATAATTCAAAAACGTGATTCAAAGGGGTCTATGTGTAGGTATCCATTTTTTTATATAGCATGATAATAATAAAAGAGTTCTTCAACTTCTAGAGGATTTTTGGAGTAACATAGAAGAATCTTTAAAAAAAAAACAGTTTCCATTTACACGATAATCACATGTTCTTGACAGAGTTGCTGCAAGTTATTAGAGATGTTACCATAACTCCCTAAAGATAGCTCTCATCTTTGACCTTCACTTAAATAACATACTCACCAACTAAACATGACACAAGATGATAATTAACTGCTGAAAGTAATTATATTTCTACCAACTCCGGATAATCCTTTTCCTTTTAAAAAAGAACTGAAATTGTCCTTTGCTTCTTCTTTATGCTAATGATAGTTGTGTTCCATAATGGCCAATTCAAAGATATCAGTCTAAATCTTTAATTAGAGAAGATTGAAGGTGACATATTAGCGAGAAGCTGCCTTCGGTTGCATGGAGAATGATGGTCAAAAGAATAGTAATCATGGGTTTGTAGGAAAATGATAAAGAAAATGAAAATGTAGTTCCTTTCATTTTCAATCCCACCTCAAGAACGCAAACAAATCTTTTAAATTTATATAATTTCTTTTTTACTTAAGCCTTAACAAATTCAGACCTTGTTCTAGCAATATTCATTTTTCCTACCTTGGCTTCATTGCATATTGCAAAAAGAGCAACAAAAAAAAAAGAATAATACAAATAAAAACACCAAAAATCTCTGAAATAAACACCGTCCACATTATAATAACCATTCCCCAAAGTCAAAGTTTGATGATTAACTGATCTGTCACATGCAAGCACCATTAAAAAAAAACCCAGAGGAAGAAACCGCGTCAACTTTGAAATACTTCACGAACGAGGACCAATAGATTAAATTCCAAAACAATAACAATCTATATGATACCCAACATTTTAGCCAAAGAAAAAAAAAAGAAGAAGAAAATTCAGAGAAGACCTTGATCAAATACATCAATGCAGTCACTCCTCAGTTTAACAATACATAGCCAACAAAGATAGGATAAAGAAGAACGAAAAATTATCTTTCACCATCATATGATATTAAATTTTAATTTCTTTACTAAATAAATTGTAGAACCAACAGCAGCAAAACTCGTTCCTCTGTACTGTGTGCACATTGTAGCAACTTGCAGACACAAAATAGTGTAATACTAGTTTCTATGTGTATCATCTACAATAAATGATGGGCAAAGCATAAATATATCATCCTGTGTATAGTATTTAGTTTACTTGACCCCTACGATATTGCACGTGCTTCCTGATTTAGTTGATGGAAAATTTATTTCTGAGCTCTTGATTGCAAGAAATGAAAAAAATCGAAGAGTAATCGTATTTGATATACCAATTGTAATGGTTTTTTTTATTTTTTATGTATAATGAGCTTCTTCCTGGTTAATTTAGTTGACGAACTATCTAATTGGACTCTAATTCTTCCTGATTTGCACTTTATAGGTGGTTGTGTATAAAAAAACATATTCATTGAAAATTATTTATAGGTTTGGTATTTACAGATTTAATATGATTTTCCATGTCATACGAGTATTTATGATTAATCAAGTTTTTTATAGGTTTCATATATTATTTTAGCATTTTTATATGAATTTGCTATATTATTTAGTTGTATTCTATGAGCTTTCTTTTGGTAAAATTATCACCCACAACGTTTGGTCATAAAATAATGTCCTTAGTGTGCGGTAATCTTACCATGGTGAACATATACATTTTTCGGTATAAACTTTAAAACCAACAAAACACAAGAAAAGTAAAAAAATTCTTATCAACCAATAGTTTTCCCATTTGTTAGATGCCAACCAAACAAAGAAAAAGTGTGTAAATTGGTTTCCGACCATGTTATATATGCAAACCAAACACGGATGATCAATTTCATGGAAAAGTTTGTAAAACCCACAAAAAGGGTTTTTTCATATGAATTGATGTCTCCTAATAAAATGAGAAACGAACCAAACAACCCCTTAGCTAAATCTAAGTCGATTGCAGACATGCCTCGTGTACTATTTGTTATACATCCTTTTGAATTCCAGATGATATTATTTTCCGTAACATTTGTTGTCATGTAAAAAATTCATGATAAATTCCCTTTTTTCCTTGGTTTAACTGGAGAAAAGACTAAATTACCATCTAAATTGAGGAGCGAAAAGATAAACTGTCAGGGAGCGAGTCTTATAATAATAAACTTAAAAAATTAGGCAGCGTAAGTGGTAGGGGTGCTAAAGCATATCTATATCTGAGGAAATATTCATAACAGTATCTATTAAGATACGAATATAGTCACTCAAATCTATCACCAATAGGCTATAGTTACGAATATGGTTTTATAGTGAGATATCCGGATCAATATTAGAAATACCTGAGTACATATTGGCCATACTGTTGCAATAGTTATAATCCGTAGATTAATGGATTTGAGGTTAATTTTGATGATCCAGATGTATGATCTTAGCTTTTCAAATATAACGAACATATTAACGAACTCTTTTTTATCACAAAATTATATTATTATTAATATTATCTAGTTTTCTCATATTTGTTTTGTATCAGTATACATATCCGCTTTTAAATCTCATGTACATCTATACATGTATCCTATTTTAGCGGATATGGATATGAATTCTTCTCACCAAGTATATCCATATCCGTATCTGTGATGGGTAAGCGGATATAGATGTGATAAGTGTCATATCCGAGTCGTATCCAGACCAAATGCGCCCCTAGTAAGTGGTCATACCACCATAATACAGGGGGTGTATCCGTAAGTAATCCTAAAATGTGTAACGAGTCAACATACCAATCGCAACCATGAACAGCTAATGAGCTGATACGGCACTATAAAACTACGTAGACTGCCACATGATCCGCAGCTGCTCCATTACTCAAGTAAAATGAATCTTTCGTTTATGATGCAGAAGGGGCAAAAAAAATAAGAGGAGATGGTAAAAATCAGTTCGTACGGTCGTAGATCAAGGTAGCTGAATGTAGCAGCCTACTAAAATTCAACAAGCACAAGGGGAGGAAAGCAGAAAGGGGACTTTGAATGTTTCAAGGAGTGCCAAAAACGATCATGCAATTCTTTAAGGCACCATTTAAGATAATAAAAGATCTCTAAGGAGACGACAAAACTTCAACCTCATTTCTTGATTTAACAATTATCCACACCTAATATGTAGACGTAGCACCGCAACTACCGGTAGTTTCGCCCTGAGACAATTCCTTACACCTGTAACTCCATTAGTGTAGTAGCAAGATAAGACTAGCGATGCATCTGACGATGTAATTGTGGTATTATCTTGGTACAACAATTGCCATTATATTTTTGTAATGCGAAGGGGAAGTGTGAAGAGAAAATTGAAAACAGCATTTGCTAATTGAGGCTGGCTGATTCCTTAAAATAGGGAATTGAAGAAGCTTTTGAAAGGAGCTACGCGGTGCACGTATAATGATGGATTTTACTACATTTGGGGTCCAACCCTTCTGTCTTGTGAGTAATAATAGGTGTACACCAAAATGAGTGAGAAAATAAATCAACTCATCTCATTGGTGGATCATATGCTTGCAAACTGTATCTGGAGACATCAGGATGGTATAAGCAGAGCCTAAAGCCCTCCATTACAACAACACGATTCCACATCTCATTCTTCAGAAGAAACCGAAAGAAGAAAAGTAAAAGTGCTAGATATCCCACCTCTTCTTCACTCGAAACATGACGGCTGAGTTTCTAAAATCATCTTGAGGGACTTGGAGCATGCATTGAACTTTCATTTTCAAAGGGGCGGTCTTTGCTTTGCCATTTTCATCTCCAACCTTTCAAAACAAAAATTCACAAATAAAATAGTTAATTCAATTGCCCTCCTAACTTGCTTGTATAAAACAAAAGTTTTATGCAGTCTAGTTATTATGTACTTTTCAGGTCATAAGCATGCTATCTGAAGAAATGGTGTTCTTACCCAGAGAGATGCCCAACCAAGTCGGACCTCAGAATCGTAACCAGCTTTGAATTTGAGATCCTTCCGGTATGTATGTTTGTAAACTGTGCTCCATGCATTAGAATCAAAATGGTACCAGTAACTGGAAATAAAAGCAGATACTTCAGTGGCTAATTAAAATGGAAGGAGCATAGAAAGGAGTACATAAGAAAAAGAAATCAAGAAACACAAAGAACAAAAACAGTTAAAAGCTACGAAAAAATATCATGTATAATGTAAAAGTTTCTTCAACGTCCCTATGCCCACTATTTATGACCCATAACCAATTAGTCATGACCTATAACAGGTATTCTCAGTCAAGTTCTGGTCAAATACTCAGGGTTGGATCATGCCACCCCTACTGGTATTCCAGAAGAATACAAACTTGGTGAATATCTTTGCCATATGCATTCATTTTCAGCCTTTCTATTGCTTTAGGGTCCGTTTGGTTCATTTCCTAAAAATATAGGAAATGGAATCCCTTGCAAGAAATCATATTCAATGCTTTCCATGCATTTCTTGAAACTGCTAATTACGTATTTGGGGATGTAATCTCTTGTTGTTGCAAACCCCAAAAAATAAGAAAGCAAAACTAGAGAGAGAGAGAAAGAGGATCTCTTGTTGTTGGAAACCCCAAAAAATAGGAAAGCAAAACTAGAGAGAGAGGAATGTTGAGGTGGCAGTAATGTGGAAGCTTTCTAGCGAAAATACTCTCTAAAACAAGGATTTGGCTTTTCCTAGAATTTGGTCATTTTCCCTACTTAAAGCAATTCTATAAAATTTGTTTCGGCATATGGATCCTATAATGCTCACAACCCACTCTATTCCATTTCCTATAAATCAACGCGTTTTCCTATTTTTTTTGGCCCAAACAAACAGCCCCTTAGCAAACTTCGCGTCCGGTTTTTCATGCATGAAAAATAGTCTTTCACAATGGAGTCCTTTTGGCCTGTGAATAGTAGAAACAATATATCTATAACATTTTAACAACTCTGGCAGTCTGTTTACCTCTAGTTAATACAATACATAAAGGGTCAATTGCAAATAGACCCCCTATACTGTCGCCCAATTGCAGATAAAGCCCTTGTAGTTCTATTGGTGCAGATAGACACCAGTACTATTTGCCCAAATGCAGATAGATTCCCTGACTAAAAATTTTTACTCTTAAAAAGAGAGTCAAAGGTTCACGCAAGGGGTCCATCCCCACCAACATAACTACAGGGGTCTATTCGCAATTGCGCGACAGTACGCGGGGCTGGGGGCTGGGGGGAGGGGGAGTGTTCTATCTACAATTAAACCATAAATAAATAGAACATAAATACATATATGAAAAGTAATGGAAGTTGATCACTAACTGAATTTATCAAAAATAATCCTCTCCTTCTCGTGAGAAAATTAGGAGATTAATATAATGTGCACGATGCAGATAATTCTACTGTGTATGATATTGCCACATCCATGTGATTCTCATACTAAAAGCACATGGATTTGAAGGGCAACTTGATATACTCTTACTTTCATGTACCTGAGAATAGTTACTTTAGGACTTTCAAATAGAAATTGATAATGGCAATGCACAGACAAGTGCACATACGGCACACATATAGTTAATTATGGAAGTGGTTGACATCATTTTTCTTGCTGGTTAGGAACCAGTAATCAATGTTCTTCAAGTAGCTAAAAGCAAACTTTTAAAATATAGCAAAAAAGAGAAGAACACTGACCTCAACTTGTCTGATGGACTAAATCGGCGTTTGAATGCAATGGATGGGACATTTGACGGAAGAGAGATGCTTGGTATGAAAGTCATTTCTTGATCCTACCAAGAGAACAACAAAATGGTAACCCCGGAAAGGGAAGAACCTATTAACATAATGATAGTGTTGATGAACAACTGAAAAGGTAATGAATAGTAGAAAAGAATGTTAAAGACTAGGAGCCTGAAGATCGATCACCTTATATGCATATCTTAAGTTCAAATTGTTGTCCATGTACATGGCAGTACAAACTCCATTCAGAAGTTGGCCTTTCAAGATCCCATTAACAGACAGCACTCTCTTAAGTTCCTCGTTTTCTTTCTCCTCAAGTGACACCTCACCATTGGGGAACCGTAGAGTTGCTCGTGGCTGAAACTAGAGAAATACATGTAAATGATATGTGTGTTTTTGATTCTGATGATCTTTTTGTACTACTCAGGCAAAGGATAATATTTACTTGACAAGCCCTTACTTCCATCAAAGCTCAAGTTTTGATTTCCTTTCCGGATTAGGTGGCAAAAGAGGGGATTCAAGGTCTAGAGAATGTGCTATTACATTAGTATTGTTAGTGCTTTTCTTACACAACATTAGAAATATAATAATTGGATTTTATGTCTATATTGGAAGTTGGGAACACACTTCGACTAATAAATGAAAACTCAGAACTTAACTAACATAATATAGAAAATTACGAATGGAGGGAGAAACCAAAGAACCAGAGTAGAGAACAGCTCAATGAAGATTAATACTAAATAATCAACTCATTAACCAAAGTAAAAAAACTCTACAAAATAACCCTGTTATGGAAACAGAATCATAGTAAAATAAACTCAATTTCCTAATCCAACTCAAATTCTAATTCAAATGCTAAATAAAAGACATCTCATATACTAACCTATGAAGATCAATCCAAATATATAAACTACTTTCCTACGCCCAATAAATCCAAAATAGTAACTAAAAGATAAATCTAGAGTTCCTAAATTGCAAACCTGAATTCCAATAAGGTTGCATAGGTTTCAATAGATCATCAATTGCTATGATGTCTGCATCAAAGATATAGTTACAAACTTACATCTGAAGGTTGATTTCAATGATGAAATACTAAAAATTGGTTCAAATGGAATATAAAAAAAGATCTTGTAAATGCTGACTCCAGCTGGTGGGGTCCTAAATCATTTCTTTTGACAAATTGTGCTGAAAGGAAAAGTAAGATTTGTAACAGTTAAAGAAATTAAAAATTTTAAGCAGCCAATAAAATATAAGCAACGACGTACAACGCATTTGGTAAGCAAAAGGTCTACTGTCTAAGATATGCTCACCAATCCTAGGGGTGGAACAGCAGATGACAATTCGAATTTGTATGAAGGATCAGCCAAGCTTGCTACCATAGCCACTTCTCCTTGTTGGTCCTGAAAAATAAATGAAGTACTCTTGTAAGCACATGACTAGAAAAGAATGTACTAGGGCATGTTTGGGAACTTGGCTTATAATCCATAATGAATTATAAGCCAAGTGGATTATAAGCCAAAATGTTTGGTAAAAAAATGGATTATAAGCTGCTTTCAAGAGGAGAGTATTTGGCCAATGGTGGATTATAATCCATCATTGTTGTCAAAATGACCAAATTGGACATTGCTCTAAATTTAAGTACTGAATAAACTTTGAAATTATCTTAAATGTTGAGGGGTAAACTTGATATATACTTGGTCAAACTATATGGCTTATAAGCCACCAAAAGATAAGCTAGGTTAGAGAAGCTTAAATTTTTTGGGCTTATAAGCCAAAATAGGTCGGTTGCCAAAAGAAGTTACAGTGACTTATAAGCCACAAAAGTGGATTATAAGCTGATTTGACCAATTGCGAAACATGCCCCTAGTATATTAGACAAAAAATTCACAATTATGAGAGAGTATTATTTTATAATAGCCAGCTCAATAACAAAGAATATAGCATCAGACTCCCCACCAAAAAGAGTAAAAAAAAAGAACTGTGAAGTTAAATGCAACAATTCAGATAAAAACGACCATATGCAAGTATAGGATCTTTGTTGAATAGGAATCTGCTTATCTATCAAAAGCCTCATTTTTGTCTAAGGAATATCCATATTAATGAAGACATAAGTGGCATGTGGCTGAAGTTCAGAAATGGATTAGGTTACGTAAGGTTAGATGGATAATAGTTAGCAAGCAATAATTTTAAGTAGAGCATCTTCGAAGATATATAAAAACATTGGTACAGAGGTGCCGAACATCATTCAAGATTTCTTGAGTATAAAGCTGGGACGGTGCTTGCATTTTGAACGAAAGAAGTGCCCTCTCATTCTTGGATTGTATGAGCTGTCAGCGTTATCCTTGTCAAGATAAATGAGTCCCCAATCTCACCAAACGTGAGCTATTTCCTAATCTTATAGCACATTTTGAAACAAAATTAGTTAATTATTTTCTTCTTCATCCTTAGAACACTTTTTTGTTCATCTACTATCATCCTATTATGAGTTGCAAACATGTAGGACATGGTAGACATGCCTATGCCTATTGGAAACATTGGAAGCGACTAGGCATGGACTAGAAGAGTTAAATAGGACCCATCAACACATTCTCCGAGACTTTAAGCGAAGCACTACTTATGTGAGACCCAACTTTAGTCCCACATCAGGAATTTATACTGAAATTGTATGGCTTAAATAGGTAAGCCCAAGACTCACGTGTAACATCAACTAGTCGATTTTGGCAATGATTTAAACCAAACAACGCGTTACACTCAGTGGGTCCCACGGCCTGCATGCACTAACGGGCCTGCAGGCTCAAGGCGTAACAAAATGGTATCAGAACAGTTGCCAGCCAGAAATATGGAGCTAAGTGCTATACGTGGCTAAGTGCTACATTGCGTGAGCACGGTGGGAGCGACCGCTAGAGCCCGTAGGAGCCATCTCTAGAGTACACATCGCTTAACCCTACTAGGATGCACTAATTGTCAATGTCGCGACGAGGACGTCATATTTTTAAGGTGGGGTGATTGTGAGACCCCAACTTTAGTCCCACGTCGGGAATTTACACTAAAATTGTGTGGCTTAAATAGGTGATCCCAAGACTTAAGTGTAACATCGGCTTGTCAATTTTAGCAGTGGTTTGAACCAAACAGCGCATTACACTCAGTGGGTCTCACGGCTTGCATGTGCTAATGGGCTTGCAGGCTTGGGGTGTGACAAAATTTTAGAAAGCTCCACAAAGCAAATAACCAAAATTGTATGAGAAGATGCTACACTCAATCAAACATTATAATTTATAAGTACACTTTGTCTCAATGAAATTTGAGTATTGGGTGGAGCGTTATTTGTTATGGTTCCCTTAGGAACTTTAGTTATGGTTAGCCTTATTTGCTTCTAAGCTTAGCATGTTAAATTCTTATTACTACTCAACATTTGAATGTATTTATTTGTAAATTATTATATCACTATATAAATACTATATGTTTATAATATGTATAAATCTTAAAAATTAAAATATACTAACTCGTGAGGCATACGTCTCACACTTTGAAGCTTCCACCTCTATTCATAAAAGGGTTCAACACTTCCACTCTTTGAAAATTTTGTTGGAAAACGAGTTAAATAAGAAAAAAGATATGTTCGTTCAGAACACGCCTAGGTAGCACAGATACGGGTGTGGACACGAACATGGATACGGCAAATTTGTAAAATGTTAAGATAAGTGATATATATATATATATATATATAATATATATATATATATTAATATATATATATATAATATATATTATATATATATATGAGGTGGTGGCTCATGTAGCAAAATAAGCTATCAAGAAATAGAGGGTCAGGTCCACACATTTGATGTGACTAAAAAGGTGAGACTCATCACATGTCTATCTCTTGGTAACTCATTTAGCAAAATGAGCCACCACTCATACCCATTGTTTCAACACACACATTATAAATATATATATATATAATAAATATATATATATATAAATATATATATATATATATATATATATATATATATTATATATATATATGAGATCAAAAATTAAAATTTACCTTTCTATCTATTATCTATAATTATTAAGAATCGAGTTAAATCAAACTAAGAATAAGATTTAACACTAAAAATTTAGTTTTGATCATATGGGATAATACAATAGGTATTTTTCAAATATTGAAGTAACGAGTTTCAATTTTTGGGTTCAAAAACCAATTGGTTTTGAGACAAATGTTACCAAAGAAGCTAATTTAAGGTATGAGTTATAGGAAAATCAGGTTTTTTCTTTGAACCACACGTGTCCATAGCATGTTTGAGGAGAATCCGTGTCTGACACGTGCCTAACACAGACACGACAACCAAAATGTCGTGTCCGAGTAACCTAGGAGCACACAAAAAAACCAAGATATATGATAGGATTAGAAAGAAAGTTGCTTTGGTTTGGGTTTTAAATTTCATTATAAGGCAAAAGGGAGAATCCTTGACGATGAGGGAAGAAAATGAAGAGACAAGAAGCATTTTCACTTTAGTCAAAAATCCTCTTATCCTCATGTCATGTTTGAAGTGTGTGCTTCAAAAGAAAAGTGCTTTATGGGGCATGAAGCACATACCCCACTTACGCTTCAAGTGATGAAGCATGTGCTTCTAGAGACAAACAACTTTATTTTTTTTAATTTGAAGTGATTATCCCTCAAATGGAATATAGGAGTGCGCTTCTAAAAAACTTTTTTAAACACTAATTTAAAGTTAGCACTCAGATGAGAAGCTTTTAAAACATTTTAAGGTCTCTGCTTATTGCAGTTCTGAATGTGTTTTGAGTATAATGTTTAGATCCCAGCAAAAATTCCATTTGGATATTAAACCTCCACAACATAACATTTGAGTCTCTGATAACGCAGGGCCCACCTATTACGAATTACCTTCGGAGAATGTCTGAACCTTGAAACTTAGTCCTTAAAAGGGATTTTCTAAATGGTACCAACTCTGCCAGGAGTGATATTTAGCATATACATTAGGATCTCTTAGATCCCAAAATAAGAAAAAGAAAAAGGAGATAGTGTTTCTGAGATTAACTCTGTGTACACTTAAACAATTTAAGTAATCTAGTGCCTTAATCTAGTGTTGCTTTTCTTACAACCAGGACTATTGAACTATTTGCTATGGATTATGTCATCACAAATGGACAATGAAAAGACTTCTGGAATGAGCACATTTTATGTATGTGGTACATAAGTATGTGACTGTCTCTGAATGTAAGCTCGTAGTTTGTTTGTACACTTGCATGACTCCTCATATTATATACGCACAACACAAATCTAAAGTAACAAGAAAATTCACTAAGAACACAAATCTATTTTCAAGAAAAAAAATAAAATCAATTGAAATAATGGATGAAACATCCACATATCAAATAATTAGCTTAGAAAAGCACATGATAAAACACGCACCTTTTTATAGTGATGCTTGAATAGGAACACATTACCCAAAGAAATGCAAGAAATAATAGACTTGATATTTTCGCAAGTGCATGACATAGATAACCTATTTGTTGACCAGCCTATATGAAGATACTCGAGATCTCCAATCGAACCATTCTGAAACATGAACTATCTTAGAAAAATCTTTGATGAATGCTAATCATTGCCAAACAAGAAAAAAATAGGAACAGCAAGCCAAGCGGTAGAAACAAGACATTTCATGTGTCAAAGGCATGATGATTTTCAGAAAGAGAATACTTTCTCCAACTGATGAACATATATATTTAGCTCTCTAAAATGAACATGCATGCCAAATAGCCAAAGGCAAGAGAATTGGAAGAAAACAAGCAGTAGCACGATAAATGCCTTACTCGTCTCACCCAGTAGAGTTGGGGAAAAAACAGGTCATATATGCCTATACGGAGAAACCCAGAATGAGAAAAGTGCAGCCTTTTTCATCATTAATCAAAACACCATGATCAAAGTTCACATAAACAATGAAATGAAACCAGTATTAAGATTTGAAGAGCATAATGAGTTTATTTTAGTTCCAGGAGTGATCCATAGATACCATATGGCCTGTAGACATGCTCAGAAAAAGAAGAAACCAGACATAAGAGTAAATATTTTATCAGCACAAATTATCAGGGACATTTCCTAAGCATAAAATATTACCTACCACAATAAAACCAAATAAATATTTAAATAAACACTGAATACATTTACAAGATAATAGCAGACCAATACATATATACAATGATATTTTCTCCTAAAAACAACTCATATGCATATAGGAACATGTAAGTGATATATGCAAAAAGACTGATGCTGGCACTAGCTAATAAGTTTTGTTAGATAGCTATAATAGGAGATTCTAGAAACAATGTTGCGCCTTATGTCATTGCAGTAGCATGTGTTTTGTTTGAAAAAAGTGGAGGTGCTAGACCCTTTATTGAAGCAAGGCGTATGCTTCAAGCGTGAGGCGTAAGCTTCATGAGTTCAAGGATTTTTAATTTTAAAATCTGTAAAAATTATAAACATATAATATATAGTGGTATAATAACTTACAAATAGATACTTTCATGTACCAGTTAGTAAACAAGAAATAAATATGTGAAGTATAGTCGCAAATCACAATAAACAAAGCTACATGCATAACATATATATCTTGCTTACACCCACATGGTCATATTGAATACACATAGGGGCACTTAGTCAAACATCATTTTCTATCCTCCTATCTTGTATAAAGCGTGCACTCCAAACAAGAAGTGTTTTATGACGCGCGAAGCGCACACTTCAATGATGCTTTAAGCAATGAGGCATAAGCTTCAAAGGATAGATAGCTTCACTCTTGAGCTTTGAAGCTTTTACTCTTCAAAAAGTTTCGAAGCGAGTTTTCAAAAAGCTTTTTCAAACATCAGGAATAAGAGTAGCTCAGCTCTGTACCTGTGTCTGACTATTTTGGCATTGATGGAGGTATTTATACCTTATTCCGAGCTGAACTTTGCTTCAAAACATGTCTGAAGAGTACTGGGTTTGTAACAGTGCAGTGAGAAGCCGTAACCAAAAATGTAAGCTCTTTAAAAACTACCCCTTTTTTACCCGTTCTCTTCCCTCTCATCTCACCCCCATGCCCTTGAACCCAAAGAAACGTTGGGTGGAAGAGAAATATGCAGCCAGCAACGCGAATCCAGCACCACCAACAGCATGATTTTGCAGCACCGATGACAAATCTCGAATTCTCGATGATGTCTATGAAATTTTTTATTATGTCACCTAGAGTTCAACGAGCCCCAAGCAGCGAGGAAGATAGTTCAATGACCTTGAACTCACAAAAGTCACAAAATACAAGAAGTTCTAGACGTCTTCTCCAAAGCACTTTCATATCTTCCCCTTTACAATTATGAATTTCATCCCAATTCAACCATACACAGTAAGCACCAACCAAACACAATTAACACTATCAATAACATACGCATCATAAGTACCTAAGCAAAATAATTCCTTTTCATAAATTATTTTAATGGAACAAAAACAGACCTTTTATCCCAAATTTTTATGGTTGGCTACATGAATCATGTTATTCCTTTCATTTCAACAATGGGCCATCTTCTCCTTCATGTTACCTATTATCAAATCCTTCTTAATGGCTTCCAACCAAGTCCTTTTAGGTCTACCTCTAATCCTCTTTATCCCATAACCTTAATCTTATCGCTTTTCCTAACTTATAAATTTAGTACCTTCATTGTACCTATTTAAAAAAAAACCATCACAATTGATTCTCTCACATTGTATCCTCAATAGGAGCAACATCCAATCTCCTACAAATGCACTCATTTCTTATCTTATATTTTAATGTTATACGCATCGACCATCATACCATTCTCATTTCTACTACACTAATTATTTTGCACATGATGCTTTTTAATTGCCCAACATCTTGATCCATAAAGCATTGTATATCTTTTAACTATCTTATAAAACTTTCCCTAATTTCATAGTATTCTACATTCAAGTAGAACTCAAGAAGCATTCCTCCATTTTAACCAGCCGGATTTGCTTTTAATGAACCTCATCGTCCTTAGCAAAAAAGTTCATTTTCCTATATTAACTCAATCCACATCAAATATATGTTCCAATTCATCCAATTAAGATCTGATTACTTAAAAAAAACAAAAGAAACTAGGGCTCATACCTTGACACTATGAGTAGCCTTGACTTTCAAAGACTCGGACAAATCAAACGACCCGCTCAAAAGCGCGTTCCTCGAATCCGCATCATAAAGAACTGAGAAGTGCTTGGTGATCAACCCTATCCGAGGGAGCGAGAAGTCCCCATTCTGATCGTTCTGAAACGAGAGCTTGAGCTTGGCGAGGCCGTCGAAGAGCTTGGACGAGACCTTGTGGAAGAAGAGCTGGTTCTCGCTGTCGAACTCCGACGTCAGCCTCAACGAAGGCCGCTTGATGGCGAAGGAGCGAGGAGGCGCCGGCGGCGGCGCCGGCGGCGGCGGTGACGGTGGGGATTGGAGGGAGTTAGGGTTAGGGTTTGCGATGATGGGAGTTTCCATCGAGATTGACGGAGAGAGGGAGAGAGGATGGGGTTTTGATTTTTGATTCTCTCTCGTTTTGGAGAGTGTAGGTAAAGAAAAGAGATAGGGCTTTGGATTCTTTTGAACAGAGAAAGGGGTTTCGTTTGGAGACGTTGTTTTCGAGAAGGGTTAATTTTAGTTGTCTCACAAAACTACCCTTTATCTTTCTAGTTTTTACAAATAACTCCCTCCAATATTATCAATTTCAAATATAAAATGACTAAAATATCCTTCGTTGAAAACAATTCATGTGAATTTAAAAACTCAACCCGATTAAAATATTAGACCTCTGTTCAATGGGTTTTGATGAGGTAATTAATCTTTAAAAAAATTTTAAAAAAGTTTTAATTGTTTCGAACATTACAAACATGGATAAGCATAAAATAAAAGATGTTCAGTGTTTCAAAAAGAAAAGATTAGATTTGCACGGAAACCTAGCAATAAAGATGGAGAAATAAGAAGGGGGAAATAAAATGGAAGTAATTTTTAACCAAAAAAGAGTTAAAAAGAAACACAATGGTAAAAAAATAATGTCTTAGAGATAGTACGATCGTTTTAAATTATTTATTTCTTTAGATTTAAATTATATTAGTTTAGGGGGGTTTAAGTGAGAAAATTTGAGAGGTATAAGTAATATTTTAAAAGTTAAGGGGGTTCTTTAAAACAACTCCATAATTGAGGGAGTTTTCAAGAGCTAAAATAGTTGAGGGTGGTTTTTCAAAGTTAACCCTTGCGAAAATTAAGGTTTAGTCCTTTTGTTCGTTGCCAACTGTTTGGGTTTTGCATTTATACCTTCTTGAATCTTTCACATTTGCAAATTGACCCTCTAAATCTTGTTATTTGTGAGCTTAGCCTTCAACACTTGAATAATTGAGTATTCCTCCCTCTCCGACTTAACAATGTTGGTTTTCAAGCATGGCAAAGTCAAAATTTCCAATAATTTCCAAAATAATTTGCAACATTTTTCTTTTTAAATATTAAAATTGTTAAGTGGGAGGGATAGAAATAGTTAATGTGAGAGAATTAGAAGATATTCTGCAAATATAAAGATTTGATTAATAAGTTTGCAAATATCAATATTGAGGGGCCTATATGCCAAAACACCGTTTATTCTTTTCTTATTCATTTTTTAAGATTATAGTGAAACATGAAGCTTTTTCCATTTCATTCTAACAATATATTTTGAATGTTTGATATTGTACAATATATAGGACTTTTATATAAAGGGAAAATTGTATCTAGGCCCCAAAAAATAAAGGGGATGTGACCAAAAGCCTCTAACCTAAGAAGTAGTTATGTTTCAGCCCTCTTTTACATTTCCAAGACAGCACATGGAGAGAGTATATGCTAAATCCCTAACATACTCTTAACCTTGTCTGCCCTCTTTTACATTTCCCCCAAAAACTTGTCTACCCTCTCACTCTTCTCTCTTCTCAAGCTAAAAGCAAATTGCCTCAGAGAAGCATTGTTTGCGTCGAAAATTGTTGTATTCATTACAACTTCAGTCGTTACAATAAAAACAAAAAAAGATAGTCTTTTTTATAGGACTTTTACATAATGAAAATAAAAATACAACTCTCGTCAAACAAACGCAGAGATCGTTTATCGCTCTTCTACTTGCGTGGGATCTTTGTCTGTGCTGGGAATTTGGATATCCGTGGACCGCCTTTGATCTGGATCCGGTTGATGGAAAATTTGACAGAGCTTCGCCTTCACCGAAGTAGTGTTTGATTTGAAGCACTGAGATCGACCAAGCGAAACCAGAACTCTTCTCGAGATCAAGACCAAGCCTGATCTCAAGGAAACAGGGGAAACGAGCGTCGAATCTCTCGAACTCTCCTTCTTTATGCCGAAGAACTCACCAAGATCTGTCAACTCTCGCTGAAATTTGTGCTCCTTTGACTCCTCCTCAATCCGGCAGCACCTCCTCGTCTTGATAATTAATCCCCCTCAGAAATGAGCCCCTAAGCTTGTATTTATAAGCTTCGGAAGCGGTTATTTGGATAAGAACAAGTGATTTGGCTCTATCTTCAGTTAACAATAGCCTAATCACGTTTGTAGATGATATCAAGTTAGTTAGGATACTCAGGAACCAACAAATCCCAAGAAAAAAACCGATTGAAAACAACGAAAATGCGTTCGGAGGTCAAAACTGTGCGCAGGGCGAATCTGACCCGCACTTGCGAGGGTCGGATGGACCCGACCAGCGCTTGCGCGGGTCGGATGGACCCGACCCGTGTCGGCGTGGGTCGGACGGATCCGACCCGTGCCGACGCGGGTCGGATTCTTTCGACCCGCGCTTGCGCGGGTCGGATCATTCCGACCCGCGCGGGTCGGTTTGGTCTGTCCCGCGCAGCATGCTGGGATTTCTAGTTTCGCTGATTCCTTGTGTTTTCTGGCACTTCCGAGACTTGTTCTTTCCACCGTTTTGCGTGTTTGACCGTCTTGTTGACTTGCACGCTTTGTTGTGGGATTGACTATCGAACGCACGTTGGTTGATATGCGCGCGTGTTGATTAATGTGCGTGCCTATGTTAGCGTGCACGAGTTGATTGACGCGCGCGTGTTGACCGACGCATACGAGTTGATTGACCCGCAAGCTGATTGACGTGCGCGTATTGATTGAGGCGCACAAGTTGATTGACGCATGCGTGTTGATTGACGCATGCCACTTGGTTCGTCGTTTCGCTTTATGCGCTTGTCGACGACAGATAATCCTCTTAGACTCGGATAACGACGTTCATCGTCTACTCTCCGTCTCGAGCTGTGTGCGGGCACCCATAGGTATTTTTAGACGCCTACTGATACCCCCTCCAAAAAATTTCAGACACATTCTTTTATAGAGGAGTCTGGAATGCTTTGGATAAGATAGGCCATCTCCTTAATTTCGTAGAGTAACCTTGAACTACCTTAATTCTTAACTTCTTCAGCCTTCAATCTATTCATTATTTCGTCGAATAGATGAAGTTCTTTCGGTGCTGCGTTTATCGTCTAACCATTGTCGAAATCTTAAACTGATATTGGTGTGTAAGTTTCTAAACTTAGCTCGTGCCATTGAGTTGACTTTGAATTGATCATCTTCGTCAGAAATTCATATCTGAATCCGATTGAACGCCCTGAAATCATCGTTTGCCTTATTTTAGCGAGATTGCTGATGCGTTGATCGGCATCGATCTTTACTGTAACACATTAATCGGCGTTAACATAGTTTATACTCGTACGTTTGCTAGAGTCCACACAGTTTAAGCTCTTAAGGTATTGGAGCGTGACAGTCCCAAATTTTAAGGCTGCAGGACTAACTGTTAAAGCTGATTCATCTGCATGTATGGATCTTATCCTGATGTCGTTGGATGCTCGAGTCACGAGACCAACTAACGGAGCTGATGCATCAAAAACTCGTATTTATAGAATTTTTGGCAAATTCTCAATCATCAACGGGTTTGATTAGCCTTTACCGACTACTGTTTGAGTCGGATTAACGTGCAGATTGTCCAAATCCGTTCTGCACGTGACGTTGTGCTAAAAGAGTTAACCCTTTTAGTGCTACGATATTGAATATGTAGACTTCATCTTTCTCACAGGAATAGACTACCCGACAACGCGTGTTAGACGCTGACTCAGGATTTTTGGCAAATCCTCAGCCTTCAATGGATTTGACGTGCCTTTACTGATTACCGTTTGAATCGGGCTTGCATGCAGATTATTTTAGGTCCGTTCCGCATGTGACGTTGTGCTAAATGAATGAACTCTCTTAGACTTGATGCTACGACTTCAAATACGTAGACTTCGTTATTGTTATGGGAATAGGCTACTCGGCAACGTGTGTTAGACGCTGGCTTATCCCTACTTAGGCTTCGGCATAAAAATCCCCAGACTGGCACTCTGGTGTCTTCTTCAATCGATAAAAGACTAAACCGGCAACGCGTATCAGATGTTAACTTATCCCTACTTAGGATTCGGGATAAAATTCCCCGTACGTGTGAGGCACAGATTTTGATGTTATTAATAACAACATGCCACAATATTAAATATATGGGCTTTTGTTCTTTTTTTTACAGTTAAGAACTAACAGGCAACGCGTGTGTTTGGTGGAAAATTTGAAGTAAAAAGACAATGAAAGAAAATTGACTTGTATTCTCTCAAAGTCGATTACAATTTAGTTTTTGATTACAAAAGAGAAGAGAATGAATCTGGATTCTCCCCTTTGTTTAAATCTGGGTTCTTCACGATGGCGATGAAGTGCCTCCTTCGATTGCTTGCGTTGAATTTGCTCTCCGTTGACGATCTGCACGTCTTGATTCACTGGAACAGTATCTTCTCCTCATGATTTGACGTTATGGAAAACTTGCGTAGCAAGTTTGAAACTCTAGACGAGTTGATAACTCTGAACGAGTTGGAAACTCTTGAAAAAGAGTTGATTTGAACCGAGAATCAGTTCTCAAGCCAAGGCCGAAGGCTTCAAGGAATGCTCCAAAGGATGGATGACAATCTCTCAATCTATGATGCTTCAAGATCCCCCCCTTTGCTGCTAAGTCCCAGATCCAAAAAATACCAGCCAAAGAGGGATGAAAGATCCAGCTTCAGGATTAAAAAGCCAGATCCGAACTAAGTTGATTTCTTAGTTATTTATAGGGGATTAAGGGGTGTAACCATCACCCCTTAATTCGCTCCTAAGTGGGGCTAATGGGATGTAACCGCCCCTTAAATCACTCCTGAGTGGAGTTGTGATCCCCTCAGATCGTGGGAAATGGTTTTGAAACCGTTCAGCTCGTGTTTGAACGAAACAAACGTAAAATCCGCGTTCTGACATGAATTCTGTGTTCAAACGTAGTATCTGGAAACTTGGACGCAGTGTCTGAAAGCTCGGACGCATTGGCTAGAAGTTGCGTTGGCAGTTTGTTGGAAGCTGTATTTGGCAGCGGATAAAAGCCGCATTGGCAACTTTCGGAGGCTGCGTTTACTGCCGAATATGAGCTGCGTTGGCAGCCGAATCTGAGCTGTGTTTGCAGCTTTTGGAGCTACGTTGGTAGCCGGATCTAAACTGCGTTTGCAGCTTTTGGAGCTGCGTTTACGACCGAACATGAGCTGCGTTGGCAGGTGGATCTGAACTGCGT